AAAAAAAAAAAAAAATGACCAGACACATGCACACAAAGTGAGAAAGATCTGCAAAACAAACAATGAGATGGTGGTTTGTTGCTTTTTTTCCTCGTGAAAAAGCTTTATCGAAAGTTTTTTTTCTTTAAAGAAGGCATGTAACATTTTTCTTTTTTTTAAAATCACCCCTCTAATCTGGTTACGCTGTATCCTCCCTTTGTCCCTTAAAACTCCAGATGTTTTAAGAGAGAGGAAAAAAAACAAAACAAAACTGTAAACCAGCTCGGATTGTCAAGGCGACACATTTTCAGAGAAAAGCGTGCATCACCCCCTTATTTGTGTGTGTTAGTTTACAACAAAAGTGGCGAAGCTGCTCTGTAGCCAAAGGGGAGGAAGGAGGAGGACGGGTGGTCAGCCTAAAGCGGCGGAGGCGATGCAGACGCTGAATTTAGAGCTCGAAGATAAAGAAGTTAAAAATCTACAGTTCAGATTTCGTGACCTCCATCCTGCAGAATAAAGGGCTTTGGGGCGGGGAGGGCTCGACCTGCAGCTCGACACGCTGCAGAAGAAGAAGCGCCAAATGTTGGGTTTTTGATGCTACGCGGCGGCTGCAGCACCTTCTACGACTTCCTCCACGTTTCCAGGACAAACAGGAAGCGGCCAGACTCAGGCAGCACGGCCAATAATGCACTTTTCTAGTTTTTTTTCCGTTTTTGATTCTTTTTGCGTGTGTGGACATAAGACAAGGGGAAACTTTGTACCAATAATTTAAAAAATATCAATATTACAATATAAAACATTTAACATTAACGACACACAGGTGGGCAAGAACGGCAAAATGGGGGAAGAAGGGGGAGGGGCATAATTTAAACTTTTCTCTTATTTTTATATTTTTATTTTATTTTTTACATGGAAGCGTGGGGGGGGGGGGGGCAAATGCAAATGAGTCTGTGTGTTCCTGTTTCGAGGGCGCGAATAAGAAAAACTGAAATACTTCATTAAGCACACATTCAAGTCACAGTATTGTTCTTTGTATACAGTTGTACTGTAATACTGCGATCACAAGTATTGCCTTTGAATGTTTTATCCACATTTATCAGACGTTTAGATCCCGGTGGAAGACATTTAAAAAAAAACAAAAAAACCCACCAATAAAAGTTGTTTTTTTCCTTTTTCTCGGAGAGGACGCGGAGCGAGTCTGACTCAATACACCGATTACAGCGACTGTATATGAAACACGCACGCACACATACACATATATATTTGCTGGCTGGTGAACTAGTGCTCAGGCGGACAAAACCCGAAACGAAAACAAAAACTGATGAGATGACCTGTACAATATTGCTGTTATGTTTTGGAAATGCACATTTTCAGTAATACACTTTTAGAAGGCCTTTATAACTCCTACAGGTCTCGCCATCGAACATGAATGAGTGCAACTACTCGGACAGTGAGTTCACAATGTACACACGCTTGCTCTGCCAACACATTAAACCACAGGACTTTTTTTCTTTAAAGAAAAATAACATTGAGAAAAACCAAAGAAGAAGAAGGCTGAAAAAGAGCTTACAGCGCTCGTGAGACGTTGTACCAAAAAGTGAGAAGGTGCCGGGCACCAGTGTGAGAGTTTAAAAAAAAAGTGGGTTATTGTACTTGTACACTGGGAATGAAGGCTCCCTTCAGAAGGCTGCTCTGCACGGGGAAGGTGGTTGGAGAGCCGCGGCGATGAGCTCCAAACAGCAGAGAAGCGTCGGCTTGCTTTTGTGCTATGCACAGGTTCTCCCAAGGTGAGTAAACAGCATATAAGAAAACTGAAGTGTTTTTCCTTCTTCTATTTGAAGTTTTCAGTAAGGCCACATCAAATTGAAAGTGTTTTTTGGAGATAAATGCCACCAGAACTACAGCACGGACTGGAAGACACCTTTGCTAGGTGCAAGTTTCGAGACACTACATTATTGGATACGTTAGCAGTGACAGATAAAGGATATTATCAGATATGTGACTGGCTTACCTGTGTACACAGTAAGAATATACAGTACTAAGGCTATCCTTTGAAGTCGAAGACTACGCTCGGTACATTAGTTTGAAAGCGGCAGACGGATTTGCTCTCGCAGAAGACCGCTTTCGTGTTCTGCAGATGTTGCTATGGCTCCGTGTGACATGTACTGATGTGTATACTTTCCAGGAGACACAGCGCACACAGAGTATTGCAGGCAAGGCAGAGGCGTTGCTTAAAGCTTTTCTTTTTTTTTTTTTTTTCTTAAAGACTTCATTAAAAACCAATGATAAAAATAGGCCCTCTGAGGTTTGTCCCCTTTCAAAAGCAAAAAACCAGAACAAAACAAACGAAAAGATCTTTGCTTATGTAAAATCTAAAAAAAACAAAAAAAAACCCAACCCAAGACTTCAGACTTTCCCCCAAAAAGATGAAGAAGGTATATCAAAATGAAACCCAAAAAAAGGCGTTTGAAGTAAGGTCACAATAACATACAGGTTGGGATTTTGGACCTCGAAGGGGAGAAAAAAAAAAAAATAAAAACAAAGCCCAAGCTCAGAGGAAGAATAGAAACTATTTGGTAACAAAAGTGTACTATATGTTTAATACAAAAAAGGTATGGAGAAAAATGTACCTTTACTAAAGCTTATACAAGATCCTTGGTCCATAAAAACTATGTTATCGTCACGTTTTATGTGTGTCCCTCTGCATCCTTGCACTCCCTCCAACAACAACACATCCAAACCACCCCCGCCCCCACCCCTGGTAAGGGTTTCAGACGTGAATGTGAGAAACAAAAAGGAATAATTACAAAAAAATTAAAACGGAGCGGGGAGGATAAAGGGGAGGTGGGATGCACACGGTGGATGTACTGTTGTTGTGGTTTCCGTCCTCACAGCTGTAGAAAGGTGCTGGTGCTCTGAGCCTGCAGGAATTCACTCATTCCCAACACCAGAACTGGACAGGCAGGTCCCTAAAGTAACCACAGGAGAAGACAGTGGGGGGGCTGGGGTGGGGAGGCGTGTCAAGGAGCACTTTATATACGTTTATTCCCATCAGCTGACAACGTTGTGATGTCACTCCTTCAGATTTCCCTCTGCGTAGGGCTCCTCTGTCCCACCGATTCTTTTGTTTTGTTTTCCTTTGCAGCTTCTTTGTATCCAAAATGAACGCAGCACTTTTAGAGTGAGTCAGTTTTGTTTATTTCCTATAGTCTTCATATACCTCAGGGTATATTTGCTCTCAAGGCATGTATGAGTGCCCCCCCCCCATGTGTGCGTTAGGAGACCACGGCTGCGGCGGTGGAGGAAGAAGACGTGACTCCTGCGTTGGAAGTGCTGTTGGAGCCGTAGACGCTGGAGCCTGCCTCCTGGCTGCTGTTGCTGAGCAGGCCCGAGTTGCTGGCCCGCAGGATGGCGCCGGCGGCGCTGCAGTGTGGCCTCGGTCCCGGCTCTGGCGTGTAGGTGAAGGTCAGTGTGGTGGAGTAGATGATGCCGTCGTTCCTCACCAAAGTGACGGGCACCTGGACGGGCTGCCGCACCCAGCGCCAGCCCTCGCGGAAGGCGGAGATGTCGGGCACCACGCACAGCATGCTCTCGGCACACCTGCAGGGAGACACGATGATGGAGTCACACTGCAGGAAAGACTCCGTCTGGAGTTAGGGTGGAGCTTCTATTCGTTTTTACTTTGACTTTATAAGGATTAGACCAAATCAGTGAGTCACAAGGAATCAGCTCTCTGTGGATTTTGGAAAATTGGGTTTTTACATATAAGAAACATAACACTGAAAATCAACTCGTAAAACCATTTTGGGATTCCTGGTTAATTCAGCAAACATGACCGAACCATAACATAACTAATAAGTATTAAGAGCAAGAGAGTAAACACTTTGTTCTTTAACTGAATTCGTCATTTATGCTCATATATTAAACATTGGCCATGTTTAATATGAGCCTTACTCTCAAAACATGAAGACAGTGTATTTACAAGAAATTCCTTGTTCCCACAGCTCTGAGTTAAATAAGCAGAGGAAAAGAGATGGATGGCTCTTTCTCTCTGATGATCAGACTGCTCTAAAACCTCAGCTGTTTTTTTCCTACTATAGGGGCTTTGTATGACATCAGTGAAATGGGATACTCCTAATGTGTCCATCTCAGGCACACAGCTAAAAGGTAAATGGTAAAAGGACTGGTTCATTTCTACTCCGAGCACTCAAATGGCTTTACACTTGCCTCATTCACCCTCACACACTTTCTATGTAAGTGCTTTCTTCTGAGAAGAACTTGGAGATAGTATCTTGTGGAAGGCTCCTTGAAGCATACAGGAGCATACGGGGATTGAACCACCAATGATTAGTACGCGACCTGCTCCACCACCTGAGCCACAACTCTGTCTATGAGCACAAAAGTCCCGCCCACCTGCTGTGGTTTACAGGGGGCAGCCAATCAAAAGACAACTGGCTTAAAGGGAAGGACAGTGGCTTGTTTTACAATGAGCGGCTGCACCAAGGTCAGGAAAAGAACAGGTGAGGATTATTTCAAACTTTCAATCATGCAAAGCAACTCTAGTGAAGTCCATAAATAAAGGTGGAAATTAGCAAACCAAAACTATCAGTAACTACAGTGCAGTAACTTCAGATTACTCATAATGGACAACAATCTTGGGATAAAAAGAAAAAAGCTAGCCACGGTGGTTTCTTTTCCCCCCTTCACTTAACCTGGTAACCTAGAACATGTTCAAAAAGCAGCAGAAAGCTGAGACACAAAGCACATCCCAGTGAATCTCAACAAAGCCCCACCTGTACATGGTCTCAGCCTCAACGTCTCCGAACCAGACCCGCAGATTTGGAGTGAAGTTCTGTCCCGTCAGCTCCAGCATGGCGACATCCCCGCCGCCGTTTAGCTGCAGACAAACAAGATAAAC